TGCAGAAAGCCCAGCAACGAGCAGAGCAGTCAGAAGCGGCCATAAATGGCTATTTGAAAGACGTTACAGTTCGATCGATCGAGCGAGCGCCAGATTCGAGATTCGATTAGGAGGAGAAGTAGGGTGAAAAGGCGCTGGAGAATCGATGAACGAAGAACTGCGGGCACTTCAGACGAGCCGGGCCGGCCCAGTACGCGAGGTGCGAGATAGGTACGAGATGTAGAAGTGGGCTGACTCCAAAGATAGGAAAGAAGCTGCAGAGCCAGAGCCAGAGCCGGAGCCAGAGAAAAACAAAAAAATTAGAAAGAAGTGCGCCTTGGGAATCGGGGTCAATAGGAAATGAAAAGTGAAATTTGTACGCTTAAAGCTCTCTGCCACGGTTTCCAGCTTTTGTTGTGTACTCTACAATATATTGTATGTACTCGTATGTTTTTTTTGTATTTTTTGTGATCTTTTTGCCAAAGGAACTTGCAATTTAAATATCATTAAATTCTGGGTTAAGCCTTTGTGCCGGCCACTTGAAAATTGCCACCGTATAATCAGTTTTTGACAACCGACAGGGGCACCGCATCAGCCGCAGGCCCAATTGGCAACGACTCTTGGCCATTTCACTGTCTTCGAGTGGTCGGTCATGGGCGAGATGGCGACACTCTGTTTAATCAGCGAATCATTCAGAGATCAACCAGAGAGAGAGGTACACGTGAAAGAAGGAATTGAATGGATGAATGGACGGGTGCCCAGCCGGCTGGGCTATAAAAATTATTACCTATTAATTATGCATGTTACTTGTAATTGCAAAAACAGAAAAGAGCATAAATAAATCTATAAACTTGCCAAATGGTTGTCAATTGCCAGGCGATATAATCAATTAGCACGACTTATGCTGCACTTGGCAACTGCCACAAGGCAGCCCCAGCGTCTGCCCTGCCTCCGCCTCTTCGACTCTACATGATCTCCGCAGATCCATGTCCGAGTGGTATGGCAAGTACTTGTATTAGCCTCTAGTGTGACTCATGCGCAGCAGAGTTCGTGCCAAACGAGACCTTCTGCATATTGAAATCTGGTGAATAAACAAAATACTACACAGGTATTTTAAATGAATAAAAAAAACCCTAACTCAAACGGCAATAAAATTTAATTTCGTCGCAATTAAAAGGGCGCGTAGCTCTGGCTCGATGGGCCTCTTCTCTGGGGAGTACTTCTGGCCGTAAAGCAACCTGAAAATAACGAGCTAATAAAAGCAGTGTACGAGTATGTACACATAGCGGCCAGGCCACCACAGGTGTCTGCCTTGAGGGCTGTGGGGGAACGGAACCTCATCGCTGACTGATGACGCGACGACAACAGCTAGAGTGTTCCTATCAAACAATTGAGTATTAATTTTAATAAATAATCACCGAGAACGGAAAAAAATAAATAAAATAAAATTATCACTGATTTGTTGTTGCGGTTTTTGCATTGGCCGACCGACGGATGACTGCGGGAGGTTATCAACACAATGCCTTGAGTCATCTCCCGCCCCGAATAGAACATGGAACACGCTTAAAAACGTATTATGGAAGACGGAAATGAATGCCAGGAGAGAAAAAAAAATACAAATGGTATATTGTATATTGTATAGATGGTATTCATATACGAAATACGCAAATAGTGAAAAAAAATGCCATGCATGGAGGTGAGCAGATGCCAAAGAATAAATTAAATTTGCGTATGGGCCCAGAAGAATCCCAAATCTCATATCTCGAGTCTAGGCAGAATAATCTCTTCGTGTTAGTGTTTAAATTTAAACCCTGAGCTCAGACCCACTGGCATGCGGCTTACTACCTCGTATCCGGAGATGGTGGAGAGCTGCGAAAGGTGTTATCAGCAGAGGCCGTGTTTACTTTCCAGTGGCAGAAGCTTCTGGACTGGGCTGGACTGGACTGGACCGATCTCCGACGAACCAAAGCTGGTCTGAAATTACCCCGTCGAGGCTGTAAAAACCTAAGCTAACGCGAACAGAATTGTTAAATACAATTTTTGGCAAACAGAAACATTTGCTGGGCAGCCGAAAAAGATGATAAATGATGCGCGTGTGCAATTCCCCCGAACAAATAGTTTCGCTTTTGTTGTTTCTCGTGTTTTAATAAAGCTTAACTAATTAAACATCTAACCAGACACACACACACACACAAATACTTATATATTTAGTCATACACATACCCATACATATGTGTACCCTTAGTACGTGCGTGTCTTGGTGTAATATAATTAATTTATTAAATTTGTAGTTTGTGTTATACAAAACACCTCTAAAATGCTGCATTAAATTCAAAGCTGAAGATGGCTGAGGTTTTTGAACCCATCGAAGGACAGGACAATCGAACTTGACTGAGTAAATTGGCCAAGAGATTGGCAACAGAGGGAATCCCAGTCGAGTCTATGGCTTGGTCAGATTACTCAGGCAAGGCGAGTTGTTGGTGAAGAGACTGGGCAGGCTGAACAGATTGAGGTAGGTGGACAGAAAGGTGGCCAGTATTCCGAAGAGCAGCACACCCATGGTGCAGGAGACATCGCAATCGAGGCGGTGCAGGAGCCGCACCAGACGTAGCCAGCAGCCGCGCGGGGAGTTGGGCTTGGCGGCCACCAGTAGCGGCTCCATCTCGAGCTCAACCGGATCGTAGTTGAGATCCAGCGGCAGGCTGCCGTAGCTGGCTTCGGCGGCGATCCGCTGGTGGACGCGCTCCATCCGGCGAATGCGGCGGTACAGCAGCGGCGGGAGAATGAACACCAGGGGCCCTGTTATGGTGCCACCCACCACATCCATGAGGGCATCAAAGCTCGGCACAAACTCCGCCACAAGCACCTCCAGAGCCAGCACAGTAGAGCGTATGGCCATGCGCTTGAGCGAGAGGCCTGAAAGGTGGACGCAAGCAGGTCAATGTAGAGCAGTTCTTGAGGCAATGGGGAATCTTACTCTCAGGCAGCTTGAAGTAGTTTTCGATCTGCAGGAACATGGCAGAGCTGGCCACCGTCACGGAGAAGCACAGCTGCAGGGACATGAGGATCAGCATCACGTAGAAGGGCACGCTCGTGGGCAGCGACTGCAGCAGGTTGCTCGCTATCATGAACCCAAACTTGTAGGCGGCAATTATGGACCCAAAGATGGCCACGCTGCAGGTAACTAAGAGTGGGTATCCAACCTCCATTAGTGACCATTCGACTGTAGTGGGATTTACTTACTGGCAATTCCAATCGTCGCCGCCCAGGAGACCTGTGACTTGCGCTTCATGTCGATCTGGAGCGTCAGCAGGACCGGATGGATGTCAAACTGGAAGGCCAGAATGCTGTAGCTGCTGAGCACGGTCAAGAATCCGGGTAGCTCTATGGAGAGAATAAGCCACTAGGCCGGAATAAAGCTGTTTTCATTGTACCCACCCATGGATATGCCCTCGAAGGGTGTGCCAATGGCAGGAGCAGCAAAGAGACAGAACCAGAGCAGCGCCACAATAAGGATCATCACACAGACGGCTATGATGGCCAGGCCCCTGCATAGAACGTGGAATGGAATGAAGAATACTGCATCGGAGCACCAGAATATCCTCTCTCTCACCTCATATGCTTTGGACTTCCCAGCCACATGAGCGGGCAGATGACCAGACCCACAATGATGGCCCAGTAGCAGTAAGAGAAGTTATAGTGGCCGGCGCTCATGCGCAGGACGACAGCCTCCAGGTTCTCGGCGGCCATCACCACACTGGGCACGGCCATGGCAAAGATGCTGAGATCCAGGAGCACGGAGACCAGCAGACTCACATACGGGCCGTAGGCCAGCTCCGCTAGGGCGGCATACGGATAGTTGCGTTTCTGCAGGATCGAGGGATCCAGGTGCTCGGCCATGGTCCAGCATTGGGACAGCAGAAACGATGTGTAGATCTGCAGAAAGATGATGGACAGGACCAGGAGAATGCCAAAGTATCCCAGTTCCACCAGCATTGCGGGGAGCGTGACGAACGGAAAGATGCCGAACAGATCCACCACATAGAGGATGGCAATAAAGAGCGACAGGTTCTCCGGCTCATCCTCGTATGCGCGGAAATGTGGCAGGGCACTGAAGCGGGAGCGCGACAGAAACGGCAGCTGGTCATGCTGGTGCGAGGGCATCAGCTGCACGGACGCGCGTCTCTTGGGCAGGGCAAAGGATGGGGCGCGCGAAGGACGTGGCGCTGGCTTGACATTTTTCCGACGGAAGAAGAACATTCGCTTGGACTCGAACTCGGAACTAGACGCTGCAACACGAAAAACTCAACTGTGGCCCCGTCTAAGACGCACTCTGCAGTGCTGGCAACAAGTTCTGTCGTTTGTCATCCGACACCGAATGCACAGGGAAGCCCTTGCACTGCAATGTTAAAGCACGTCGACTCTGACTCTGTCTCTGGTCAATAGCAAAGTTCAATGCCTTCGCTCCAGCTCGTTGGATGGCGGTTGACCCACAAAATGGAGAAGAAATCAATTTATCCATGTGATTAAAGTGTTTATTTTTACATGCACATATCAACAATAGCTTCCCCTTCCTCCATTCCTGTATCTATCCGCGAAATTGTCTTCTTCCAGCTTAAAGCTGCACTTGGGCAATTTTCTGCTTCTTGGCCTCGCTCTGTGGAAATAAGAGTGCATTAGTAAGGCTTAAATATTTATCTATACATGCTACATGCCTCTGAAATCTCATCTTTCTGCATGGTGATGACCTGCACCGCCTGGCCAGGGCCCACACGCAAGAGCTTCGGGCCACGCGGCGAAGTGTCGCCACAGCAGAAGACCCGCGATGTCGTCTGCTGCATCTGCGGACTCGGGCTGTCCGACTCGTCCATATCCTGCTCGCTTATGAGGGAGCTCGTAGCGTTCTTGTTGTTGTCCGTGTAGGCGTGATTAAAGATCAAATGATTTGGACGAACTGCATCCGTTATATACTTACTACACAGTCCACGAGGTTAGGCAGGCGTGTCAGTACAACAGCAACAAAGGTTTGGTTATAGTTTAATGGGAAATACATTTGATATGCCCAGCGGCAGAATTGCAAAATTGGTGTAAGTAAATGATACGTACACTGACCACCAAGGATCTCAACTCAAGGATTATACAATATATATTGCGGGTATTAACAGGTGTAAGAGTTAGGTTCGTGGCACGAACAGGGGCGGATGGGTTGCCACAATAAATAAGATATATATAGTGTACATTATATACATGCAAAAGCCATACTGCAAATTGCGCTAAAAGGAACTTGAATATTTCTGTTTTTCTCTGCTTGGGCTCACTCACACTCCATGAAGAGACGCCACTGCATTGGAAGGGCTTGAGATATTTGCGTGTGGTGCTGGTGGGTGGGTGGTAGGTGCTGATTGTGACGATGGTAGAGCGGCTTGTGCTTCTGCTTCTGCGCTTGCTGCTGCTGCAGTACGCGTCAAGAGTCGCCCCCGGGCGGTGCCGGTGCATCCTGCCTGCAGTTTGAGACATAGAAAGAGACGTAGAGAGAATTGCTGGGCTGTGCGCTATGATGATCTCTAATGTGCGGCTGGTGCAGTGTACAGTGTACAAATGTGGCAAGTAGGTAATCGAATGGCGACTCATTCAGTGTACGTATCAGAGTGGAATGTAAGTCTACATGAGGGATGCACATTTACAAGGGAAATCAGGGGGTTTTCCACCTACGATTTAACGTTGAACAATCGCTGACGCTTGATGTACTCCAGCACCAGGTCGTCTATGAGATATTTCACCGACTGGCCGCGACTCAGAAGACGTCGCACCAGCGTGGAGCTCACTTCATTGGCCACCCAATTAGTAATCAGAGTAATATTTCGCTGAAAATTTCCATTTATATAGTTAAAAATTTATTGAAATAATTAATTTTACATACCTGATATTTGGTTAAAATGTCCGAATTAAATATAAACTTATCGGGATTGGATCCGCAGCGAGTAATGACCACCAGGCCATGGTTGGCCACAATATCCTCAATCTGTGGAGCAAAAGTCTGTCAAAAGACCACAAATAACACTCAAACTAAACGTGGACTTACGTCGGCATCTTCCCAGAGACCAGGCACGGCAAAGGACTCCAGTAAGTCTGCCCCGCACAGCAGCTTTAGTTGCACTGGATCGCTGCGCTCTCGCAGGGTTGTGGGAAGCCATCCGGGAAGGGCACCGTTTGGCTCTGCATCTCCGGCACCAGAGGGAGAGTTGATGTAGTTGTTCATGAAGTTCTGGTGGTACTGCAGAACAGATTGTGTGCGCATCCACTGGCTCTGGTGCACCTCCCAGTCGGATAGCCGTATCCAGTTGGAGCTCTGAACGGCCAATTTCACCATAGCGCAGCGGTCCAGCGATGAAACCAGCCCCTTCTTTCCATATGAGTCATGGGTGGGTGAGATTATGCCGCCCACCACCTTGTGCGTCCCCTGCATCTCAAAGTGATCCCTGGCTATCTCTGTGCACGCGTCGAGTGGGTGACGGTATCGATTATATTTAGCAATTACACAATTTTTGAAACTAAAGCCGCATGCTGCTTACCAAACAATCTGAGGTGCATAGGCGTGGGCGGACTGAAGCAGCCGCATGCTATGAAGGCGATCCGGGGCAGCAAGCACTTTGTTTCTTCCATGAACGCCGACATTTTAAACCAAATTCATGTAAATATCAAATTCCAACTCGAATCGCAATGTTGTTGTTTAGACAGCTGTTTTTCGCGGCTTTTTACAACACTGCAGACATGTGCGTGCTGCCAACTTCTTTCGATGTCTTTCGATGTTTTCAGTGGGAAACATCGATAAAATTAATAAAATTCATCAAATGCCTGTTTTGTTTAGATTACCTTTAACTGTAGAACACAATCTAGAGCACAGTCTAAAACACAGTAGCATTAAACACATTTCTCTAAAAATTGTATCCCTTGATATTTTGTAAATTATTTAAAATTCATAATATGCAATAGAAAGCATCGATAGTGACCCAAAAAACATCGAAGTTTCGCAACCTCTAGACCATACTCGATCTGCTTCAGAACGATTAGTGGGCCGTGTTATCGACTAGAAATGGCGTCTGTCTTTCTTTTATGAAAAATTCGTGTGGTCGTATTTACAATTTATCAACGTTGTGTGTGTTTGTCAATTATAAGGACGAGTGCGGGCTATTCTCGTCTCACACTCTTGACCGATTAGCGCAACAGCCATAATCGAAGTGTTTTTAGTGCGGTGTAAAACGTCCACGACGGGCAGGCAAGGCGCCGAGTGCAAAAACAACGGCCAGCAGCAGGCAGCGAAACGAAAATGCATTTGTGACTGACAGAAACACACAGTCAGGCAGACAGACAAACAGAAGACCCCCTGAAACAGCAAGGATAGCGAAGGCGAAGGCAGAGTCGAAGTCAGGAGGCGACGACCGCTGCTCCATCATCAGCAGCAGCAGCAACAACAAATGGCGCTTGTGACGGTGCAGCGCTCCCCAAGTGTCGCTGGCTCGGGCTCAAATTCGGTGAGTGTAAGTGCGCGGAGCCAGGAAGAGGCTCCAGATGCAGCTCCACGTTGGGTGCATTTCCCCCCCACCCCACCATCTTATCTATTGGCGTGTGTGTTTTGTTGTGAATCCCAGCGGCAAGGCAAGGGCTGTGTGTGTGAGTGTGTGTGCGTGTGTATGGGGTTGTCAAGCTCCATCTCTTTCTCGCTCGCTCTCGGAACTGCGCTTTGTTTTGGTTTTAATAATTTTATTCGGAGTGAGTGGCTGGCTCTCCGACACGGCCTACAATCGCTCTTCCTGTGCGTGTTCCGCCTTGGGTGCATGATCCTTTGTGTGTTGAGTATTTTTTGGCCTGTGCCCCAAAACGCAAAACGATTATTTCGAGTGGCTGTCTGTGTGTCTCTCTTGGCCGTGTCGTGCCGTGGCGTGTCGTGTGTGTGGGCGCTTGCGGCGCGGCGCGGCTCGTCAGCGTCATCATCATCGTTTTTGTTTTTGTTGTTGTTGTTGCTCTTGTTGTAACTCAACCAAATCCGTAGCAGACGTCGCGACGTCAGCCGCGCGCCTTTATATTTTTGCATTGCCTTATTTGTCGTTTTGTCATCCGTCGCGTCGCTGTGTGAGATTTTCTCTTTGGTTCCGTTAGCCTACCGTCCGCCCGCCCCAAAAATAGTTCTGAAGACCTTGAGACTGTCTATATAGTACCCGACGTAGGTATACATTCGTGTGCCACACAACCACACGCTGGGTGGCTGCCCTTGGAATCTTAATTCGGGCAATCAGACAATAATAATCGAGAGGTCTTTATCGTAAGCTTTACCCCTTTTGAACTCATTGCCGATGAAAGTTGGCTAAAATGGTAGACCGCAATGAGTGCTGGGTGAGTGGGTGGGTGAGAGAGTCGGTGAGTGAGTCACCGTGCGGGTGACTGTGACTCCCGTGGCAGGGACAGAGACACAGCAGCTGCCCAGTGTAAACAAAAATTTAATCGTTTATGGTTCCAACAGGATGGCGAGGCCGATGACGACGAAGGCAATAGCAAGAACGAAAAGAGCGAATGCTTCTTTGCTGGCAAAGGAACCGCCCTGGTATTAGCGCTTAAGGATATACCGCCCCAGCAACAGCCGGAGCGAAGGCTGAGCACGGACTCGACGCGGTCCAGCAACAGCACACAGAGCAACAACTCCGACATACAGCTCCACCTGCAGTCGATGTTCTTTCTCCTGCACCGTGAGGACACGCTCAAGATGGTCAGTAGATGATGCTCGTTTGCTGCTTGCAAAATACTTACGAATGCACGTTCTTTTCTCGACAGGCTGTCAAACTGGAGTCGCAGCGTAGCAATCGCACACGTTACCTGGTGATTGCCTCGCGCAGCTGCTGCCGCCGGGCTGCCACCAGCGAACGTCGCCGCAACAAGATAATGCGTCACAATTCGGCAAAGGTCAGCTCCTCCACGTCCTCCTCCAGCAGCATCGCGTCGGCGGTAACAACGCAGCGGCAGCATTCAGAGGACGTTGCACCATCAGTTGCAGCAGCAGCAGCAGCAGCCAGTAAATGTGATAAAACAGCGGACAAGGAGAATGTGGCTGGTGCCGGCGACAACAAGAACATCTCGGGCATGGAGGAGTCCTGCCTGCTCGGCATCGATTGCAATGAGCGGACGACAATCGGTCTGGTGGTGCCCATACTGGCAGACACCACCATCCATCTGGATGGCGATGGGTGAGCCTCTGTCTTGTGTGTGTGTTGTCCGACAGCCCCAACACTGATTTTGCCTACCTTCCTTCCCTCCTTGCAGCGGCTTCAGCGTGGCCGTCTTTGAGAAGACACACATCTTCAAGCCCGTGTCGGTGCAGGCCATGTGGTAGGTTGTAGAACGACCTTCTTCCCATCCAGCTTTAATCAAAACTTTCTTCCCATCCTGCGGGGCCACAGGTCGGCGCTTCAGACGATTCACAAAGTATCGAAGAAGGCTCGTGAAAACAACTTTTATGCGAGCGGCCCCTCGCACGATTGGCTCTCCAGCTACGAGCGACGCATCGAGTCGGATCAGTCGTGCCTGAACGAGTGGAATGCCATGGATGCGCTAGAGAGTCGCCGCCCACCCTCACCAGATGCCATACGGAATAAGTATGAGTCCCAGCTCCGCCCTCCACTTTATTTGTTCCTCATTAAATGCGACCTCTTTCACTGTAGGCCAACCGAAAAGGAGGAAACTGAAAGTGTCATTAAAATGAAGTTAAAAGCAATCATGATGTCCGTGGACCTGGACGAGGTTACCTCCAAGTATATACGCGGTCGCCTCGAGGAGATACTGGACATGGATCTGGGCGAGTACAAGTCGTTCATTGATGCCGAAATGCTTGTCATACTCGGCCAAATGGATGCACCCACAAAGATATTTGAGCATGTGTATTTGGGCTCCGAGTGGAATGCCAGCAATCTGGAGGAGCTCCAGAAGAATGGGTATGTCAAGACACTCACACACACCCTGTGGACTGTATCCTCCTCTGTCGTCTGCGAAACACTGATATTATAATTTGTCTCGATTGCAGCGTTCGCCATATTCTGAATGTGACGCGGGAGATAGATAACTTCTTCCCTGGGACGTTTGAGTACTTTAACGTGCGTGTATATGATGATGAGAAGACGAATCTTCTCAAATACTGGGACGACACATATCGTTATATTACTCGCGCCAAGGCCGAGGGCTCCAAGGTGCTGGTCCATTGCAAGATGGGCGTGAGTCGGTCCGCTTCTGTGGTGATAGCCTATGCCATGAAGGCCTACAAGTGGGAGTTCCAGCGAGCGCTGGATCATGTGAAGGAGCGTCGGAGCTGCATCAAGCCGAACAAGAACTTTCTGAGCCAGTTGGAGACATACAGCGGCATGCTGGACGCCATGAAGAACAAGGAGAAGCTGCAGCGCAGCAAGAGTGAGACGAATTTGAAGAGCACAAAGGATGCGAGGCTGTTGCCGGGCAGCGAGCCCACGCCCCTTATACAGGCCCTCAATCAGGCCAAGTCCAAGTCGAGCGGCGAAGCTGGAGTTGTGACACCCGAGGAGGAGGACGAGGAGGCGGCGGGGCAGGACACAAGACTCTCGCGACTCCATCGCCGATCGAGCGCACAAAAGCAGCGACGCATGGTGCGACGTTCCAGCAGCACTTCCCCGAAGACCCAGACGGCCGTTGTCACCAAACAGCAGAGCCAGTCGATGGAGAACCTCACGCCGGAGCGCAGCGTGGCGGAGGAGCCAAAGAATATGCGTTTCCCCGGCAGCAACGGAGAGAACTACAGCGTCACCCAGAACCAGGTGCTGCACATCCAGAAGCACACGCCTCTGTCGGTGCGCACACGCGTTCATGATCTCGAGGCGCATCGCTCGGATCAGTTGCCACAGCAGTCGCCGTTACAGTCGCAGCCAGGCCCTGTGTGGACCTCACTGACCAAGCTAATCACTCAAACGTCCCACTTGGGAGGCAATGCTGAAGGAGGAGGAGGAGGAGTCATTGAAAGCGCTACCGAAAGAGGATTGCCCCGCAGAGATTCCAGCTCCTCGGATGTGTTCTCCTCGCAAGTGGATAATGTATTCGCCAAAGAGGAGCGGGAGAAGCGTCAGCGTCGAAAGACACATTCGTGGACAGAGGCATTCGGACCCAGCGGTGGAATAATTCTAGATGCCACGCCGCAGCAGACGCAGCACCAGCAACAATCCATCATGCTCCGCAACCGCGGCCTGCGACAGCGGGAGCCGCCGTCGCGACACTCCAGCTGGGGATCGGGGGACAACCGGAGCAGTTTGCCGCTGCGCACAAGTTCCGGCAGCTACTACGACAGCAATCGCAACAACACGGCCATCTTCGAGGGCGAGATCCAAGATCTGAAGCGGAGCAGCTGCAGCAGGATCAGCAGTGACCCGAAGACTGCCAGCAACTGCAATGTCATCGAGGGAGGATGCGTAAGCGTAAGCGTAAGCGGGAGCGGAGGCCAGCTGGGGACAGTCAAGCGCACCAAGCAGAAGCTGGAGGAGAGCACGGTGCTGAAGAAGCGCTGCCCAGAGGATGCCCAGGAGCAGGACCAAGAGCTGGATACCAGCGGAGGAGATTCTGCTGGGGCTGGTGCTGGTCAGAAGAGGTCTACGACCCTCTACCGGAGCGCCTCCTCGGCCAACAGTCCCAGGCAGAGGCAGCCCCTGCGCTGCAACAGCGAGGAGCTGATGCACACCAGCGATATTGAGAACAAGAACACGACCAGCGACCTGGAGGCGGCGACTGCGGCAGTGGTTTTGCGGGGCCCCAATCAGACGCTAGCTGAGGATCAGCGAATTTCCGGCAATGTGCAAATACTCAAGCAGAACTTTGAGGCCAAGGCGGCAGTGGTTGGTGTGGGATCGGTGGCGGTAGTCTCGACTGTGGCACCTTGTACACCCACTGTTTGCCCGACGAGCAGTACTGCAGCCACTAGTGGTTCTGCTACTGCCGTCTCCAGCTCAGCAGCAGCTGTCCCACAGATGGGGGCGAAGAAGACGACGACACACCAATCACTGCCCTCGTCACCAGTTGCTCAGCACGTGAATCACGTGTCCTCCTCCAGCTCCTCCTCAACGTCGAACTCGTCCGATTCCAGCGTAAGCGAAAATTGTGATCGTAATGTAAAAGGTCTAGTGCATAAATATCAAACCACTTCCTGCAGTAGCCAAGCTGCGAGCCAGACTGCAGTCATCGTCCCGCCTACAACCACCGCACTGCCGCCGCCGCAGCCATTAACCGCCAGTCACAGCCACGGCCACAGCCACAGCCACAGCCACAGCACTAACTGCAACGCCGCCACTAACGCCAATAGCTACAAGCAACGCCCGCGCTCCTACTACGATCGCTCCTCGCTGTCGAACAAAACGCACGATTATAGCGAGAGTCGACCACCGCCCGCACCTGCCAGACTCACTGCCAGCGTCAACTACGGCAGCAGCAGCCACACCAGCCACGTGCAGCTGCCACAACAGAAGTCTGAGCAGCAGCAGCAGCATCAGCAAGTGCAGATCAGGCGTCTGGCACAGCACGGGAAGACCCATCCACTCACTAGGCTAAGTACACCAAAGCCAGGCTTCAACACGGCTGCATACAATACCATGTAACGAAATGCTATTTCTACTTACTCATTAAACAAGCTCCAACTTCCACCTCCATCTCACACCCACATCATAATAGCCACTAAGGATCGCCCGAGCATTGTCTGCTTTTCGTATTTATATTTCCCCCCGCTTTTGTCTATGTTACCGTCACATCCCCTCATAATGACCCTCAATAAAGTGTAAGCTTGTGTAGTAGTACGTCCTTCTCATATGTTCTGTGAAGCGTGTGTTCATTGAAGACCGAACCTAACCGGCCCGACCCGACCCGACCGACCGACCGACGATCCGCGATCTTGAAACTTTGTGAAAAGTGCCGTCAGGGACTATAAAACAAAACAAAAAGAAAACGGAAAACAAAGCAACCTATGAAACTGTATTTGTACTTTTAAATTACTTGTAACTGTATACATATTTATTTTATATTATGCAACAACTGCCTACGAATAAACGATTTTCTGTATATACATCAATACACATTGTACACATCATGTGGTGTCCCCCTTGTCCCCTTCTGCTTGTCGTTGTTCCGAGTTCTGTGCCGTCCCTCTGCCTGACTCATTTCCCATCATATCGTATCGTAGCACCTGCAGTACTTTATGCCTCTGCCTCTGCCTATGCCTGCCAGCCTTTATGACCAAACTTTGTATTTGCAGCCTTATCCACATGATACGTTCCTTCCGCTACTCATGGGCCGAGAAGTGTAGTAAGTGAACGAAACGAAAACCAAAACCCCAGCTGGCTCTCGAGGCTGACGCCCGCCCCACCCCCACCTTGTTATACACAAATTTGTATTTTTTTGCTATTTATCAAGCCCCGTATTTATAAATATACAACTGTAACCCAATTACACGTGCAATCTTTTTAATTGCGAAATGAGTCATTGGGCAGGTAAACACACCATGCGGCGCAAAAGGTTCTGTTCGGGTATTTAAAATTAACAGCCAACCGACACTGAGTTGCAACCTCACATAGAAAGAGTCACTACTGCATTCAGGGCATGCTTGAAGTACAACAAAGCCCCCATTAAGTTAAAAGGAAACCAAATATATAAACAAACGTTGCTTAAAATGATATTTATAATAAATATTTACCTGCTTTCGTCTCTAGGCTGAAACGGCCGATAAAATAACCGGCTGTCCTATCGAAATAACGATATACCGGTGGGTGAAAACCAGTATATTTTTGAGGGTCGTCGGAAAGTGTAGTGGAAACATGCTGTAAACAATAACAATTTTAAAGAACAAAGGGTATAGAAATTTCCCTACGCAAGTTTTTTTTTTAATTTTCGCTCTCTCAAATCGCACTTCCGTGCATAATTCCAATGGATTGCATTAAAGTCCTTGTCGGTCAATCACTTTCAAACCATTACTATTTGGCGCTCAAGTCCTTTTTCACTGAGCAGCATTGTCCCACAACATTGGAACGCATAGATCATCATTCTGCATACCCTGGGATAATGGGTATTATAGAATTGAGAAAATGTTTCTCATCTAAGGCGCCAATATATGCAAAAACTTATTCAACGATATTTTGCATTAAATCTAAGACAAGGACATTAACAATTATGTTTTAAAACACTTTGGAAAACAGTATATAACAGTGAGAAACAGTATATTAAATCACGAAATGGGGTATATAAATGGCCATACTCCGGTTGAAAAGCAACAAGTCTTCAAAGACCAACAACATCTAAGAAATGACTCACTTACGTTGCCACTGTTTTGTTGTTGATCTTTTTTGTTTAAACCTTGGTTTATACACAATACAATAAAAGGGAGTATTTAAAAGTAGTCAATCTAGTAGAAAATGTGTTCATCATTGGCATAAAATTATGTGGGCACAGCTGAAAGTCCTATCTAGCTAGTAATATTCGACGGAATATCAAAATTAAGCAATAGGATCGATTACTCACTTACGTTTTCTTTGCTTGACCTTTTCCGCTAAAACCTTTTTTTAGACAAAATGCAATAAAAAGGAGTATTTTAAATGAGCCAGCCAAGTAGAGAACTGACTCATTAATTGGATAAAAATATGTGGGCAGGGCTGAGGGTTCTATCTAGCTAGTAATATTCGACGGAATATCAAAAACGAGGAATATGTATAATATAACTTGTATAATTCGTCAGTATATTTACGGTATATCTTGAAAACGAGACGGTACATTGCGGTATATTTCTGAGGGTCACACTCGCAGCCCAACACACTCACACACAATACACTCACGCACACAGATGCGCCCACTCTGCCTACTTCCACAGTTTCTTTATTTTCTGCAGAAAAATTAGAAAAACGGCACGAAACGAAATCAATTGTGAGCGCGCTACAGAGGCGAGAACGAGAGAACACGGTAGCCAAAGTGCAATCAATCTATAATGCAAGCTGCTGCTGCTACAGCAGACGCGGTCGCATAATCGAACAATTGCTGCTGCCCGATTTTCGAGACAAGAGGAGACGGAGTTTCGGGTTGTTGTTGCTGGTGCTACTACTGCTGCTGGTCGTCATTCGCCAGTAGTTGCCGCCGTCGCCGCTGCCACCGCCACCACCCGCCGTCACTGTCGTCGTACGTGGCGTTTATTTGCACAATTGCCGCCGCGACAACGACACGGCTTAATCAGAAGTCGTCGGTCGGAGCAGTCCGAGGTCGTCGCGAGTGCTGCTTCTGCTGCTGGAAGTTCCACCATCAGATCCACCAGGGCCTCCATGACGGACGCCGCAGGCAACGCACTGGCCGAGAAGGGGCTGCCGGAGATGAAGGGATGGCTGCTAAAGTGGACCAACTACATCAAGGGCTACCAGCGGCGATGGTTCGTCCTGTCCAAGGGCGTGCTCAGCTACTACCGCAACCAGTCGGAGATAAACCACACATGTCGCGGCACCATCTCGCTGCACGGTGCCCTCATCCACACAGTCGACTCGTGCACCTTTGTCATCTCGAACGGCGGCACGCAGACATTTCACATCAAAGCGGGCACCGAGGTGGAACGACAGTCCTGGGTGACGGCCCTAGAGCTGGCCAAGGTCAAGGCCATTCGGGCGATAGAGAGCGAGGAAGAGGAGGAGGAGGAAACGGCCCAGGTGGTGCCCAGCCAGGAGATCAGCTCGGTGGTGCGGGATCTCACCGAGCGGCTGGAGAACATGCGCACCTGCTACGATCTGATCACTAAGCACGGAGCCGCCCTGCAGCGGGCCCTCAACGATCTGGAGTCCAACGAAGAGGAGTCGCTGGCCAGCCGCACAAAAATAGTCAACGAGCGGGCCACGCTCTTTCGGATAACATCGAATGCGATGATCAATGCTGGCAATGACTATCTCCATTCGGCCGAGGCGCAGGGCCACAAGTGGTCCAAGATGCTCCACCACGAGCGCGAGCAGCGCCTAAAGCTCGAGGAGATCATCGAGCAGATGGCCAAGCAGCAGTCCCAGATGGAGCAGGCCGCCGTCCTGGTGCGCCAAAACAAACCCGTTCCGCCCATGGTCTCGTCCAGCACCACAATGTCCCTGAACGCTGGCGGCAGCAGCTCCAACACGGCTCTAACCTCCGACGACGAGGTGGAGTTTTTTGACGCTCTGGAGCACGCCTTACCCGGGGATGGCACCTTCATCCTAAAACTGAACAAACGACGCAGCAGCTCCGAGGACCAGTTCGATGGCCAGACGGGCAGCTCCTCGGAGAGCGACGAACAGAAGCGCACCATCAAAACCATCCAACAGGTCTGTCTGGTTAGTGCGCCCCGCGTTGCCTCCGGCGGAGGGCACTACGTGGACGACGAAGACGATGTGGATCGGGCCGCCCAGTTGGAGAACAGTGAGTCGCGGGTTAGCAGTATCAGGAGCAGCAGGCCGGTGAAGGTTCGCCGCCAGAGGGTCCCCGACAAGCCCAACTATCCCCTGAGCCTGTGGTCCATCATGAAGAACTGCATTGGCAAGGATCTGTCGAAGATCCCCATGCCCGTGAACTTCAACGAGCCGCTCTCCATGCTCCAGCGCCTGGTGGAGGACTACGAGTATTCGGATATACTCGATCAGGCCGCCAACTGCAAGGATGCGTGCGAACAGCTAGCCCATGTGGCCGCCTTCACAGTCTCCGCGTACGCAACGACAACGAACCGCACGGGCAAACCGTTCAATCCACTGCTCGGCGAGACCTATGAGTGCGATCGCATGGACGATTTCGGCTGGCGCTGCCTGGCCGAGCAGGTCTCCCATCATCCCCCAGTCGCGGCGCTCCACTGCGAGAGCACCAAATGGGTCTGCTGGCAGGAGTTCTCGATGACCAGCAAGTTTCGCGGCAAATATGTTCAGGTTTGTTTCCAAAGGCTACTTTGTTCTACATTCGATTCAAACGTCATTGTTTTCGTTTTTCTTGTTTGTTTCAGATAAATCCCTTGGGCGGGGCCTATGTGCACTTCCCGAAGAGCGGCAACCGCTACTCCTGGCACAAGGTAACCACCACCGTAAACAACATTATCGTGGGTCGCTTGTGGGTGGACCAGCACGGGGAGATGGAGATAATCGGCTCCCATGCGTCGCAGGGCAACAAGTGCATCCTGAACTTCATCCCTTACTCGTACTTCAGCCGCGAGGTGCAGCGGAGCGTCAAGGGCGTGGTTATGAATCAGCACAACGAGGTCAAGTGGGTAATTCGCGGCACCTGGGATGCCCAGATCGAGATTGCGCCCGTCCTCAAGACATCGGGCACTCCGGACAGCCCCACATACACCACGGGCGAGTACAAGGTGGCATGGGAGCGCCGTCCCGCACCGGCCGATTCGGATAAGTACTACAATTTCACGACACTGGCCTGCCAGCTCAACGAGGAGGAGGAGGGTGTGGCGCCAACGGACTGCAGACGACGTCCCGACCAGCGGCTGATGGAGCAAGGCAACTGGGATGAGAGCAACAACGAGAAGCTGCGTCTCGAGGAGAAGCAGCGCACGGTGCGCAGGCAGCGGGAGAGCGAGGCAGAGCATGCGGCATCCGAGGGCAGACCCTATCCGGCCTACGAGCCCATGTGGTTCAAGCGCGAGAAGGAGGAGGACAGCGAGAACTTTGTCCATGTTTACAAGAACACCTACTGGGAGGCCAAGGAGGCGCAGGACTGGAGCGGCTGCCCCGACATCTATTAATCTACAGCAATTACACGCAACACAGAGGACAGCCTTAGCAAAAAATATTCTAAAAAGATTTCTTCAGCCTCGAAACACGCGCAGAAACATCCATTGCATCATATACACACACCTAGTACACTATGGAACTAATCTGTGTAACAACATTCTTCGATCTAGTGGATATATAGTACTATAAATTGAACGGCCTGTAACGTAGCTAAAGCCCCTACCCGCCTTCCACCACCTTCGGGAATCTTCAACGAAATCTATTCTCTTCTGTTGTTCTCTTTTGGTTATTCTCTTCCCCTTCGCCTTCGCCTTCCACGAGCATTTGCTTTTCCAAATACTACCTTGCAGACTTATGGCACAACCTATTTGTATCCGTAGAGATCCTTCCTATCCTTGTGTGCAAGTGGAACACCCCCCTCCACTCTAAGCCCCCACACCCGCGTTCCTCCGGGTTCGCTTCGTTCCTCCTTTATCTGCAGAAATCATGTTTTACATTTTGTTGTGTATATATATATATATCTATATCAAATGGAATTGGAGAGGACAAGAAAGAATGAGAGAATCGAATCGAGGGAATATGTTAAATGTTATAAATTTATGCAATTTATTATTAAAGTATTATTTAAATAAAGCAACAATTGTGTGTGTGTGGTTCAACTCGCAGAAAAGACACCTGAACACCTGTCCGATAAGATCCACAGGCGCACCTGCACCTGCCGACTGACTCATT